AGGGAACTTATATTTTAGGGCAACCTGGATCCAGCAGCTGCCTTCTACTGCGATAAAATGCGGGAGGTCCAACGGCAAAAATGTAAGTGTTTGCTTCACGTAGACGCAGCTGCCCCCACCACGGCTATCTTGGCGATCATTTCGAATGCAATAATAGCCTAGAAGCGAGAGTTCGGAGTCAGCTACGGAGGCTAATGCCCATGTCTCAGTTACTAAAACAATATCTGGACAATGGAAAAACACCAGAGGTTGAAGCAAAGGCATCTTATTAAGCAAGGATCTGACATTTAAAACAAAAAGTTTGAAGGGAAAGGCTGTTTGTTTTTGAGGGAGGTGGGCTACATCGTCCAGTTCTGGGCTGCCCACGGAGCAAATGATCCGAATGCAACCATCCGGTTCTGCAAAAGATTTGGTGGCATCGAAAACTACTGACTTGGATAAAAAGGGGTAGGAATTGCGGGAGGGAATGACGGGCAGGTGAACTGGTAACCATTGTTAGCTAACTTATTTTCAGCTGGAAATCCGCGGGGCAGATACTGCAACGTATTCCCGCCGGAACGAAACTGAGGATCGGATGAATTAACTGATTCAGTATGGATATTATCATGAGGAATACATTGATAAAACGGCTGTGGAGGAAACAAGTTAGGGGATGGGGGACGCATTGTTTCCATTGGAGCAAGAGTTTTATTAAACGGCGGAAAAATCGGCATATTCGGCCTAAATGCCTCGATATGAGGGCTGGGGATCAGTTGCAAACCCGCTACGTTCTGAGTCGGGGTATTTGAGGCACTGTTAGCCGATTGTGGAGGAAAAGATTTTACAATGGTGCTGGATTTATTGGGTGTCCGAGTGACTGAGACAGCAATTGGATTCGCCTTTGACTTAGACACATGCTTAGGTATACAATGGGCTGCTGGGGGAGTCGATAGAGGCGTGTTTTTACCAGGTTTGACGGTGTGTTTAAAGAGCTCAGCATTAAAATTAGTCGAATTCCCTACGGAATTGACTATGCCGTGATGTGCAGATGCCGCAGGTGGTGTTGTAGAGGACTTATTCAGACTGACAGTAGGTGTCATTATCTTGGTGTTGGTTTTTGACGATTTTAATTTATTCAGTTTTCGCTACAGGGGTGTGAGGTCTGGCGAAAAGGAGCAGCGCCATTGACGGCAGAATTCTCTAGCTATCTCCCTACTCGACAAGATAAAATCGACTTCTATCATGGAAAATAGGGTAACAAATATCGTTGCATTACGGCCAAGCGAACGAAGTCGCTTAGCTTGTGCGACACTGAAACTCAAGCCACAACTTTGTAGGAGCGCATGCGCTCCCTCCATAGCAGATAAGTGGCTCGGAATGTTTCGCAGTACGAAATTATGCTTGCGCTTAATTCTTTCTTTAGTCTCCGAGCTTATTTTTCCAATAAGTTTAAAAGCTTGTTCAATTACTTTTTCAGAAGTGCTGTTTATGTCGCCATAAATCAACTGGTCGACTATTTCGCCGGCTGATGGCCTGCTACGACTAGCCGAGGCGTATTTATGGACGATTGAAGGGTCAAGAGGTTCTACATGTACTAAAGGGATTTGTGAGTTAATCAGATCTGCGGACGGCGAAGAACATACGCTGGCACCTGCTATGTCTTCAGTCACGATTTTAGCACTCGGAGCAGCAAGTTTTCATCTTTTAGCACGCGCTCTGCGGGGCATTACAGACAGGAAAAGTTTTTCGTTACAGAAGAAGGGTCAGCACGTTGCCAACGTACGGAAAATCGCACTTAATAGCAAGTGCTACTGTTATTTAACTACGAAAAATAGAAAGAGATAGTAGGGAAAGGAGTCACTACAAAGGTTTTTTTTACAAAATACGACTATTTTGCAAGACTGTCAAAAAAACTGGGAAAAATTATATCTTGTATTGAAAGGCGACTTTTAAAAGGGGCTCAAGTGAAATACAGGCATTATTTGCTTAAGAATATCCAGATAAATGCAAAGCTTCACTTATCTTTGAAATTGAGCCGCGCGCCTTGACCTTGACCTCGGCCCACTATTATTTTGCGTTTTTGTTAACGATGTACCAGATTTATATCAGAATGGTAAGCCCTTCATGTATGCCGATGATCTGAAAGTCGCATAGAGGTATTAGCCGGCAGATCGTGATATCGTGCCTGAGCTACTGAAGAACGACCTACAGGCCTTCGCCCAGTGGTGCCGCACATGGTACCTTTCTCTTTTTTGGCATCAGTGCTCAGTTATGGTGGTTGGCGATGACCACTAGCCTGAACTAAGTATTGACGGTCATCACATAAATGTGTCTTGGGTTATTGGGGATCTGGCCAAAAGCCGACCTAATACAAACATTTCGTATACTGCGCTGCCAGGGCTGCTGTCTCTTACCAGAGTTAGCAACCACAACAAACCTTCGAAGTCACCCACTCAAACTTCATGTGACTGGCGCCAGGCCTGGCATGAGGAAGTTCTTCTTTTCAAACAGAGTGTTCGAGGCTTGGAATGCTCTGTCTTCAGAGGTCGCCATACCCACCTCTATCGAGGCTTTTAAGCGCAAGGTGGACCAGAAAACCACTAAACGTCATAATGTCGCCCGGCCGAGATTGTCCAAGCATTTTGTTCGAACAGTTAATGAATGTTATTATATCACTGCCTGCATTTCAGTTACGTTTGTTGTTTATTAATATCCAAAGTCCGTTGAATGTGAGTGTTGAAATTCAATAAGCCTCCCTCAGAAACTGAAATTGCCCTAATTTGTTTAATGTTAATGCTTTTAAACACTTAGGCCGATTCGTTTATCTGACGTGTTTCGAAAACTTTGCCAATATGATAAAAATTCTTTATCTGTTCGATGGTTTCATTTTCAAAATTTTGATACAATTCGCTTTCTTATAACAGACAGTGAGTTCAGAAGTTCAATACCTATGCTTCCCTCAACTAAACTGGATCATAAACTGAAACTGAAAAAATTCCAAGAGTCGCAGTCTTTCAGAGCACTTTACCCTGTTTGTCTTCAAAGCACATAGAACGATCGGGTTTAACCTCCGAAGCTTTAAAACCAGCAATAATTGAATGCACCTTTGTAACATGTACGCTGGACCTGACCTAGAATACTATTCGTTTTTATTTAGCCTCATGCGTAGTGTTCAGCGCAAGAAAGCAGAATCCGTTCAAAATTTTTTTTCCATGGGAGTTTTAACCTCGGAACACCGACATCTGTCTTACCAAAAGCGTTGCCTAGATCATTTATGATTCCGTGGATTAACACGGAATTATTTTCACTAGTTAAGCTTTTATATAATTGTGCCTTTGACCCACTCACTACTTTAAGGCATCTTGTCCACCCCCAACGAAACAGTCACCGTGAGGTCTTTTTATTTCTTCCTCTGGCACGTAATGTTAAATATAGGCAGTTCGCACCTGTAAATACAATTTATATTTGGAATAAACTACCCAGAAATGTGAAATCTTTGCAAAATTATCTTTTATTTAAGAGAAATATTACTCAATTTTTGCACTCAAAAAAACTCCCACAAATTTTGCATGCTGAATCCACTGATCTACTTTACCGTAGCAATGATGTTTGTGGTCTTTGATCTCAATGACTGGTCTCACCAGGGACAATTAGTTTAGCCAACAGCGACAGCCGTTTTTCGGCTCTTCTTTTCGGACCAGCCCTAAATTCATGAAAAGAATTGGTGACTGATAATATCAGATACAGTGCTACCCCTCACTTTCTTGACTGTCGGCATCTTGTGGTCAGCAGTTTTTCTCCTGAACCCTCGAAACTATAAAAAAACCCCATCAAACTTATTTTTATTTCTTTTCAACAGAAGTCTTTGCACTGCTGGCCGGATTTTTGATCATCGCTTCTCTGGCAATGCCTATGAAACGGTATTTAATACTACTACTACTACTACTACTACTACTACTACTACTACTACTACTACTACTACTACTACTACTACTACTACTACTACTACTACTACTACTACTACTACTACTACTACTACTACTACTACTACTACTACTACTACTACTACTACTACTACTACTACTGCTACTACTACTACTACTACTGTTATTACTATTGTTACTATTTTTATCATTATTATTTTCTGGACTGGATAACGGCGTTTCTGCTTGGTCGGACACAGAGCTTCTTCATCGAAGTTGATATATAAGACTGGGTGAACGTGAATAGTGGTGTGCGTCAAGGCTCAGGTCTTGGACCCGAAAATTAAAGAATATACTGAAAATAAACATGAAAATGAGTTTGGTAGAAAATCCGCCATCTGCACAATTTAACTTTGTCTTTACCAGACTAGTAGATGGAAGTCATTTTTTCGACAAAAAACATTGTTGTTGTTCTTAGATTATGAACAAACGCAATTCAGGGCATCAGTTTAAACGAATGTTTGCAAATTTTTGGTTTCCGTCAGAATGTCGTTGACGTAACGGAGGAAGATGAACAGACCCTGCACCACGCTTTGAAGTGCGCCATTCGCGATCAAGTGAGGTGTCGAGAAGTTACTGCAAATAACGGCATTATAACAGTGGTTGGATTAGTAGGACAGGATGAAGTCAAGCAGACGTGGTCTTGAGTGCTTCCGATTTTAGCGATATGTCCAAGGCATTGCTAATATGAAAGTACATAACGACAACTGACTGCCGTTCATTTAGGGAAGTGGAACTAAACTAGGAAATGCTAAGTAACAAGTGCAACAGGTTCATTTTAATAAGAATGCATACAAAGTAGATCTCAGAAGATGACTGGCTAAACAGAAATCGAAAAGTCCTTTGAAAATCATCCTTCAAAAAGTTTTGTTGGAGATGGAGTTTTATAGAATAGAAATTATGTGAAATTAAGTAAGTAAGAAAAGATGCCATTTTTTTTAACGGAATCTCGCTGCGACCATATGTGCATCGTATATATTGTTTATTTTTGCTACCATTTGCAAGGTCAGAGCAATAACTCCACGGTAAAGTTTTCAAATGTCTGTTGGGTTTCGCGTCTGCCACTTGTATCGTTGGGACAATTACCACGGATTTGGTCTAGTTTTGACAACCAAAGACAAACAAACGATTGTTTCCTCAGTGGAGGAGCGGTCGCCAGCTGAATTAGCAGGCGTGAGGAAGGGGGACATTGTGTATGAAATCAATGGCTTTAAAATAAGTAAAATCAAACTTATGCACATGCAACTTCTTCAGAAGGGAGATCCTACAGCGAGGTCAACTGCGTAATGCTAGCCAAGAGTGAAAATCTTGAGCTCGTGGTTGTTCAAAACTGTGAGAGATTTTACCTTGAGCTCATGCGAATAACCCCATCGTCACGGTCTGCGAATGCATTCCATATTAGTTGCCCTAACCGGCCACCAGGTAACCCAAATTTCACCTTGTTTATTTTTAGCCACGAATGTAAGAATACATATTTACACACGGATGTTCGGGCTTGTGTATTTTAAAATACCCTTAGGAAAATGTTTAATTCGTCATTCATATGAACGTTATATAACATATGGTGGCATAAGCTAACATATCCATATAATCATTGTAAGTGAAATTATTGGCTTTTTTCTAAAAGAAGCTACAAAAAGGTATGTTTTGGCAATTTTAAATATTTTGTACTGCAGAGGAAACACGGAATTCGTGGCGCAGTTAGTCTGTGGTATCTTTAAAGGTAACCTGCGAAAGGTTTCAATGAATGAGCTGTTCATCGCAGCGAAGCATCTTACCGGCCCTAATATATTGCCGGAATTGTTAGTCTCACTTGACCTCGGGACGCAATTTTGGGGTTTCATAGACCGTCATATAATAAGCAGCATCAAAACAACAAACGATAGGTCTTGTAGTCGGCGAAAAGATGCTGACTGTTATATTTTGCCCCACGTGATTAAAAATTGCAAATAGACTATGTATACAAATATATATATATATATATATATATAGCATACATATATGCACTACTGTCTCACCACTAGGGCCTATGGTATGAGTCACAAGCACTTTGTCGAATAGAAGTTTTTTAGTACCTCGCCACCTAGTATTATCGGCCGCTGCTGATCGGGTATTTATTTACCTGGGAATGGGAGTAGACTGACTTAACAAAACAAACCAGTTTCATATGGGTGAGAGATGTCAGGGTTTTGATTAACGGAATGAATGTAGAAATCCCAAAACAGCTCTCTATCAACCTATTCCCGGTATATATCATTTCCATTCTTCTGCCACAGCTTGACCAACTTCAACGCGGCGGATGTTTAACTGTTCGTAACCCTAGTTACCTCTGCTTACTGGCTTCTGGAGGCCAGTGGGTCGGTGTCCGCACATTTCTAAGTGACGAAAAATGGCAGGTGGCAGGGAGCCGACGAACTTCGGTTCGATGAATTGCCTAGGATTCATCTGGTAGAAACCAGTTGTTGATCAGTTGTTCCAACACTTTGTGTGCATGTTTGTGTTCCCTGTCCCAGCTGATGGTCAGGAGCGTAATTGGGCGAGTGAAGACAAATAAGTTCAGAACAGTTCTGTATCAGTCTACTCTCCAGATCTTGTTGTCTCCCTTGTGCTATCATATGCCTTGTTACCACGCGCAATCCACTTGTAAATTGTGCTTTGATGAAAGCCGTAATATTTTCGCTTCGTGATAACTTTCATTGATTGATAAAAAACACGAAAAAATTCAACTGCATTTTAAAAACTAACTGTGAGATTACAATTGCTGGCTAGTTTATAAATCTACTTCCCAATGCCATAACTCGAAATATATTAGTAAGGGCGTAAGTAAGGCCATAACGGCACAACAGACAGAAAAGCGATTTGGAACGACGTGTTACTTTGCAACGAGAGGCTAGATGACAATGAGACTTCAGTAATCATGCCCAGCAGAGCAATAGGTAAATGGCGTCAAAGTGGCGCAGTTAAACAAAAGCGTCCTAATCGGTTCTTCCAGGCACATAATCCTCTCCCAAAAAGTGGGGCTTCAGGGTACATTCTGAGTGCAATACAGTTTATTTCTATAGATTTGGAACATGTAAACATAAAAGATTCCGGTTAAGCTGTTGAAATGTCCCTTTAAATTTCTTAAAATATGGCGTGGCCGAGGTCACATCCACCCACGCTTGGCCACGCTCACAAGGCGGGACCATGTGTTGGTAGAGGTGGCTTGGCCTGTTTATGCGCTTTTTTGTCCAAAAAAGCGTCGAGAAGCTGAAAGATTGGTGTGAGATCGTTCCTAGGTGAATATATATAAACAATGGTAGAGGGAGTCCCCATGATCCCGTTTAACGACACACTTAGCCCGTTATGCCCTGAGGCTCACTATCAAGCCTCACACGCTGCCGTTTAATGGCTAATATTATAGAAAGCATGATGATTAGGGCCTTGAACGTCTAATTAACAGGTCGGAGAAACTAGCCTTAGGCGTTGAAAAACCCGCAGTTATATAATTTCAGCTGATGATATTCATAAATTTCATTTCAGTCATCTGTTTCTTTGTAAAAAATATTATCTCACATGTTATGCGTATAGATATGTGCATATACATGTGTAAATATTCTGTTTGTCATGAAAATCGGTCGTGACAAAATTTGAGAGCCGGTATGTATAAGAGGAGAATGCTGCAAGAGATAACGAAGACTGGAATGACAATTTCTGACTTGAAATCCGTTTGTAACCCCCATTTTTATAACTCAAACTGCAATACTTCTTTCTCCAACTCAGATCTTTTGATGATCTTTCGTTATTACTTTCAATACCGTCATCGAGACACAAATCCGTTCTCCTGTCGGTTGCGGTCAGAAAAATTGACTATATTGGACCTGCGTTCATTATTGACTTATAAAATGTTCGTCCGTTGTGCCCTGGTGCTCAACTTATATCTCTCGTAGACAGTCACACGGCGACCGGCAGTGTACTCAATGTAGGCTTAGGGGCATAGCGACTTAGTAACTTTTGATGCCCAACAAACGCGGTTCCGAATTTCAGGTCTTGAAAATGTGGAGGTAGGCAAGGTTAACCGAAGAAATTTCGCGAACCAGAAACTTCCATCTGCACATGCGACTGGTCGATGGGCGACTACTTACAAGGACCTTCGTTCGGGTTCCAAGGCGCAATGAGATGAGCATGTAATGTTGCTTGATCGGTAGACGCAATTTCAGCATACACATTAATGTAGTAACCGCAGTATCACCAATGACAAGGAAGACTGGAGTAGCCATTTCCGGTCTCATAGTGGTCATCAGCAAGCCACACTCAGTTCAAATTATAAACATGAGCACGGACAAAAATGACGATACCGAATTGTTTGATTTCTTAACTTTAATTACATGTATGTTTTCAGGAAACTTTGGATTGTGCGTTAATTATTGGGTTTAGTCACGTGCATCCTTAGTGACGTAATTTTACAATTTTTTATGTAACTTTTCAAAAGATTCCCATTTTTTACTTAATTGCCTGCTTTGCATAATAAAAACCGCCACTTACGAGAATTAACGAAGAAAGGTGCACGGTTTATGGACTTTGTTATAGTTCCTACGTGAATAACATTTACGAACGGAAATTGGTGGATCCGAGTTCCACCAAGATACGCACAGAATGATTATAATTTCTTAGCCACACTGTTGCCATCAAAATGGCTGAGGTCCAGTTAGTTTTTTTACCTAATTATATTTGATTTCCAAGCTTGAGAAAAGTGCCACAGTCCAAACGTAATGATAGCAAAAGCTCGTCTTGCATGTAGTGAAGTATCTTGAAGTACAGCACATAAATTTTGGACATAAAACATAATACTACTGCAGGCTAATGCAATCTAAATTTTTTCCAATTGTTTTCATCAGTGTTAGTTTATCGGCGGAAAAAGAGATATTGCAAGAGAAAATTTATTCCATGCATTAAATAGTGCCGAATATAAACTGCATCGTGGGCGTTGATAGTTGTAAAATGTCTAAACGCACGAGAGCCTTGCACTATTACGCGTCTTGATTATTAGCATTTGCAAAAGTCTAAACGAACAAAATATACGACTATTTTTGTTTATAGCTGATATCGGCTGTTCCAATTTTTAGCGGCGTATGGCTGCTCCTTGCGGTTTTGGTCAGAAGCTTACTTGAGCACGTATCAATAACACTTCTTAGCTGTTACTCCACCATATCCTGGTAAACCTGAGCAAATTGAGTATGTTTTAATAGGCGTTCAGTAATGTTTTGTCGAAAATGACTAACGTTGATGCTTTACCGTTAAATTAAAAAATATTACAAATATTTGTGTGAAAAAGGTATCTTGTAAACGAATTCTAATATCCCTACTCCCTAGGCCAAACGAACGAAGTCAGATCAACTAAGCGAAGCTGAGATGGGTCTTCTACGAACTGATTGGGATACATATCAGTCGCTGTTTTTTCGCTTGCTGAACCAAGTCACCTACTCAATGGAGTAAAATGTATTGTAAAGTAGTTTCCTTCATCCTGAAAGTCAAATAAAATACAGGATAAAATATTGCTTGTCGTTGTTGATGGCATTATTTATTAAAAATTTGAAAGGCGTTTGCGAGAAGTCATGAAAACAATTTTATGTCATGTACAAACAAAAAAACTCTATATGAAATTACCAAACGTAGCTTATTGTTGTTCACATATCAGATGAGACTCTGTCTGCATATCAAGCATTCATACCAAAAACCGGGGACTAATTTGTTAAGTATTAGCCAAAATGTAGCCAGGCGTGCATTACTAACGTTGATAATTTAAAGTTTAACTTTATTCTAAGTTATCACATTGTAAAACATGAAAAATAGGAACAAGCAATTTAAATGTTCAAGCAGTTAAATCTCCATCGACTGTTGAAAAATGCAGCGTTGGTAAACAATCTTAATTTTCAAAGAAGCGTGACAAAAGAGATTAACGATGGCTTTTACGGTGAGCCTTTCGAGCACGGGTATACAACTTAAAAAGGTTAGCTTGTTTTTGTCTGTTGCAGGGGGAACAGTCATCAATATCACCGTTCCTCTGAGGGAGAGTTTATTTCAAGGGCTGCGAAGTTATCAAAAATCATAAAATATTTTTTAAGTCCTCCGTTATCTCCCAGTTGCACGACCATCAAAAAATAAGCAATGAACCCAAGGGGGAGAGATATTATTTGTCTGGTATTTTTGCAAGCAGCTTCGCCCGTCCAACCTCAGATCCTGGTACGACACTTACCCATATCATCGCCATTTTCACCACTTTGGAGGCTTTTTCGGCCATTACTGCACGCAGTGGAGTCACAAGCCTCATTTTCCGACGGGTAATAGGGCATTCGACACGTCACAATTGTTTAAGGGGATGTGTTGATTGCGGGTGTTATAAACTCTGCGCCTTCCTCGTTTATGCTGATTACCGGAACTTTGCACCCCACCCCCTTTGGAAGCTGAGTCCCTCACTACGAATAGCTCTCCGAGTTTGGCTGATGCCGGTTATGAATGTACACTTTGGACTGTTGTCGATGCATAAATAGATGTAGGAAATGTTGGCTGATGGGTAATGGGAGAAGTCCGATGAGTCGTGTAGCACTTCGTCCCTGGTTTGTGCTTGTGCTTCGTAAATCAGACGTAATACCCGGCAAGCCTTTCTTGGGGCGGTAAAACAGAGACAAGTTAGTCGTGGTTAACTCAATTTCGCCAAACGGCCTAGCTCTCTAGAAGTTATGACGAGAGGGGAATTTGCTTTATTTTAAAGCATTGACTCAAAATTTTCGGCGGAAAGAGTCTGTTCGCTATAGATAGAGTATAAAGTAACAAATTACTCAAGAGTCAAAAGGCGTGACACTGAAAGAAACGATTGCTATGGGGACAATTCAAGTCTTGGCTTATGCATTTCTATCTCTTCACACGTAAAAAAGAACCAGGAATGGCAATACAGAATGCTGATATGCCGATATATGGTCAGAGATGTCGAAAGTCACGGTGCATGTGACCCTTTTGGGTGGCCTTTGAATTCTCACCCCGTACCACCAATTGATGTCCGTGCATCTGTGTCCAGAGCTGTCGTCTGTTTCCCCGGCGTACTTGCATCCCGCCACTCTACTGGTGTCCGTATGCGACAATGGTATATCTGTTGGTAATTGGTTCTCGACTGCATCAGATGCGTACAGAGCAGTAACTTGATGTCTGTAAACACTCCCCATCAGCGCTGCGTGTTTGGTCAGCCGCGTCCAAATTAATATTCTAGTCTTCCCGCGTATTTACATTGTCCTTGATTGCATTAGATCTGGCATACGACTCCAGACGTTTTCTGCCACGAGGGAAGGTCATTCGGTTTCCTTATGCGACGCCTGATCATTGCTTTTGATTGTCGTGTAAGCCTAATTCCGGGTGAAAAGATTGCTGACGGTTTCCGAGATGTTCTCGACGTACTGGAGCGCTTGCGAAAATTTGGGGCCAGTACGACTTGATACCTTGCCTCATTTACGCATGTGTCGGATAAAAAAGTCGCGCGGATAGTTATCCACTCTGAGTGCCAGTCCAGGCTTTTGTGACTCGGTAACCCTGCCTTCCGGTTCGATGCAGTGTGTCTCGGCTCGCCGATATGGCGTTCTTACGCAGTTACATTCTTGGTTGACTGGTTGAGTGATAGGTGTCGAAGTTAATTATTTAAGTCGCAATTTTCACCTTCTTGAACACCTTAGGTTTTAGGCCACCACCATTTTTGAGGTAAACGTTCGCATAAATAAAAGCCAGCTGGTTGTTCTTTCCCTCCTACATCATAAACAGCATGTTCAAAAAGGTGGCATTTAAATGTCCATCTATTGTCACCGCCTGATCGCGTTCGATGACGTCAACGTCATCGTCCGCGTATCCAGCCGAGAATCTCGGTCCGTAGTGTTGGAAATTCGGTGGTTCAAAAAATCTACGAACCAGCTGGCGTGCCTTCCTTCTGCCCATTGATTGTTCCGGCGAAGGTGAAGTACAATTTGAGGCAGAACTTCGGTAGTTAGAGGATTTAAAAAGTCGGACTATTTTTAGTTTCTTTGAAGGACTAGGACAATAGTCATGACATCGAGATTCTGGGATGTGACGCCAAATGATGCCTTAACCTCGACTGCCTGCAGACTTACCCTTTCATTTTCCACAACAATTGTGTTGGGAAAATTGCAGAATTGCCCGAGATGGCCTGGACGCTAGAACAGCAACGTTGACAGTTCATGTCTATCGACTTCAATGCAGCTGCGGAAGTTGCAACTACGTTGGGGAAACCGGTCGACGGTTGCAAACGCGAATGCACGAGCATAAGTTGGCCGTGCGAAGGTTGGACCCAAAGTCGGAGGTAGCAACCCATGCCGCGCAAATGGGACACATCTTCAACTTTGACGCCGTTGAGATTGTGGGCCGGGGTAGCGATCACACAGCAAGGCAAGTGCAAGAAGCCTGGATGTCCACCGACCGCTCTGTCAACCGCCACATCAATTTGCCTCCCCCCTATCTGACTTTACGAACCTTCTTAGCGGGGGACAGTCACGGCGCGGGACAATCGGGGCCGTCAGTCATCACCGCGGCCGACGGAGGCGATTCAGGTCACGGTGACATGCGGGTTGGATGCAGCCACACAGGCGGCATTGGCGGATCACGCATTGGACAAAGGGCGCCATAATAAGGAGTGCTGTGCACAGGACTTCCCAGTCCCTGAAGATGGGTAGACGAACAAACTACCCGAAACGTCGGATCTCAAACAAACCCCTCCCGGTGAACGCGCCCTCTTCTTTTGAGTTAACGTGAATTTGAGAAATTCGATGAGCCGTCTGGGAGCACTTTTCCGTGCATCTTGTACGGCCATATAATCTGGTCAAGGTAGTTTTTCGGTTCTCATTTTACGTCGGTTTGTCGGTGATACGGCAATCAGGTTCACTATTGTCATCTACCTAACAGTAATTTCGCGTGTCAGACCTTCCATGGCGTTGGCTTGCATGGGGCATAAGAACAACAATGCCTCTGCAAGCTTTTGTTCTTCTAAAGGCAATCTGCTCTGTTCATACGACAGCGAAGCAATTCTTGTCCGCTGGCACGATAAAGAGGTCGCTGTCAGGTTTGAGTTCGACCTCTTAAGGTGCTTTGTGCAAATTACAACTCATGCGGATGGACGGCGCTTGGTGCTGAGTAAGGTTTTTTGTTTCGGCTCTCGCATCTGTCTGACTGAGGATTGACTCCACCTTTGGAGTCATGTTGACAGGTTTGGCCTCATGGCTTAACACCTGCATTTGTTCCTCTGTCTGTTGCTTTGGCGTCAGGTGGTGCATCCGCTGTAAATCGTACGCTTTTTTGTCTGCCAGCTGAATGTGGTCAGTATAATTTAGTCGTATTCGGGTGACGCTGGCCAGGCAGATTACGAAACGAGTTCTTCAGCGCTGCGACACCCATAACTCTGTGTTAAATAACACATTCAGTCATCCACTTTTGTTTCGCTCTCGCGCGTGAACTCGCAGCAACCGGCCTTTTCTGGCGGTACTTGCAATGCCTCAAGTGACATTCTTATACGGACACTTCAATAACTCATCTACCATAATGAAATATTGCGCATCTCGCCAGTTCTATGTCTACCGAGGTTTGAATAAAATACATTCCGGCAGCGCGTTTCTGTTAATGCATTTGTGCTGAAACCGAATTTATGCACTGTCAGACGGCTCTCGAAGGACACATGTTCCCCATCTTTGCGAAGCAGATTGGCAATACAAACGAACAGGCGAGTTCCAGAGGGTTGAGAGGAAGAAGATGCGACCAATTGAGTGAGATTTATATTCACTTGACGTTTCGGATTCACACTCAAACCAACTGAGCAGACGCCAGCCCTCAGCCCGCAGCTCATTGGACGTGACTTTGCGACACCTTCGTGTATATTGGAATCGACGTTCTCTCGAGAGGGGACAACAGTACAAACCGAGGACTGCTCAAGTCCCTGTTCTCCGAGCGCAGTCTATACATAAGCGCAAGTCTCTCCTTCCCTTATATTCATTTATAAAATTTCCCGTGGGCAGACCGACAGGCCACGCGGGAAACGCATGGGTGTACACCACTTCCAGTGACAGCATTGGTAAGTCGAGTTGCTGGGTCATTTTCACGCCCCTAATCAACGCCGTTGATGAAATAGCGGTAACTAACCCCTTAGGTGCGAACGAGCATGCAATCAGTGCACCAAATGAGAGCGTCGGCGATGAATGCAAGGTTGCTAATTTGATAGATGGGTGGCATCTTGACAACTGGATCCTATAATTGCTACATCCCACGTGCGTCCTTCATCGTTATCTGTGGCTGTTTCTGATGATGGGTTGGAAGTGAGATCCAAATCGACGGGCAAATTAAATTCCTGCTGGAGCGATCACACCTT